GTGGCCGGCGCGCTCTTGCGGGCCGCCTTGGTGGCCAGCTGCTTCCGCGGGGCCTTGCCGCCGGTCGACTTACGGGCGGTCTGCTTCGTCCGGGCCATGATGCGCGGCAACGAGAGCTCGGCACCACAGCGGCGGGGACCGTAAGGAGGAGCGGGGCAGGCGCAGCGGCCTTTTATAGGCACAGTCTTTTCGCCACCGGGCGGGGTGGGGGCGGGGATTGAAAGGCCCGCGCTAGCGGGCCATTGGCTGTGACGTCACTCGTCCCCGCGCCGTTGATTGGCTCGGGCCTTGCCCAGCCTCGCCCCCGCCGCGCGCTCCCCTTTCCCCTTTGCCAGCAGCTTTTCGACCTGGTTCTGCATCGCTGAGTGCGAGTCAGGCAGCCGGTGCCCCCTGGACCCCTCCCTTCAAGCGGACCGCCGCGACGCCCCTTTTCCGCCGCCTGCGCTGCAGTGTGGGTCCGGAGTTGAGGCTCAACTTCTGGCCCCTCCCTTGCCCCTTGTCACACTTTTCAGGCCACCTTTCCCGGCCCGTCGTTTCTCCCCCCTCCACCCCACCCCCGCCCGTTTATGGCCTTTCGGTGGGGGGCGGGGGGAGTCACGCTTCGAAACAAGCCGGAGGGGGCGAGGCTGGGTCTCCGCCACCCAAGGCTACGTCAGATGTGCGGCAGAGCCCGGCGAGGCTCAGGCCGGGGCCCTCCACTGCACCGAAACCCCGCGTTCCCGTCCGGATAGCCGCGGTGGCCGCCGAGACGGCGCCCCGCCCGGCCTGCGCCCGCGGGCGTGGAACCGCTCGGCGCCGCCCACGGCTTTAGCGTTAGCGCCGCGGACGGCCCAGTCCCGAGACCTACGAGACGGGGGTGGGGCGGACCCGGGACGCGAGCCCGCGACTCCGCTCGGCGGGAGGACGCGGGCGCGGGCGGAGCGAGGGCCTTCACTGGCCCGGGCTCGGCGTGTGCTGCTGGCGAAGGGGAAAGGCGGGGAGGAGGCCGGGTAGGTACCGTGACAACTCCTTTTTACTTGAAAGAGTGGGTGGCTCTGAAAAGAGCCTTTGATTTCACAAGCGCCCCTGCGGGACGCGCGCTGCGCTGCGCGAAGGCCTCACTTGCCCTTCGCCTTGTGGTGACTCTCCGTCTTCTTCGGGAGCAGCACCGCCTGGATATTGGGCAGCACGCCGCCCTGGGCGATGGTGACTTTGCCCAGCAGCTTGTTCAGCTCCTCGTCGTTGCGGATGGCCAGCTGCAGGTGGCGCGGGATGATGCGCGTCTTCTTGTTGTCGCGGGCCGCGTTGCCCGCCAGCTCCAGGATCTCGGCCGTCAGGTACTCGAGCACGGCCGCCATGTAGACGGGCGCGCCGGCCCCCACCCGCTCGGCGTAGTTGCCCTTGCGCAGCAGGCGGTGCACCCGGCCCACCGGGAACTGCAGCCCGGCGCGGGAGGAGCGCGACTTGGCCTTGGCGCGCGCCTTGCCTCCTTGCTTGCCACGGCCAGACATCACAGCGACGAGCACCGCCACCAGCTAACGCTCAACCAACCGGAACACGGTCCCGAACGGCGTTGCTTCACCCTTTTATAGCTAGAGCGCGGATTGTCCGCGGAGCACGCTCATTGGCTAAAACATGGCTCTGGCCCGAGGGCCAATGGGAGAGCGCAGCCAGATTCGACTCATTTACATAATCTCGGCCCCCACGCCTTCGCGACGCTCAAAACTCGCGAATTGCAGCGCAGAGCGTTCGGAACCTTCATTTGCATGTTGCCTCTATAAGTACCTTGGCCTGGTGAGTGCGCACCCTTCACTCACCGGCACGCACGGGTTTACTCGCGCATTCCCAGGTCTGTCCGCGCAGTCCTCACTGCCCTCCGGCGCCGCTCTTTCTCTGCCATGCCTGAGCCGGCCAAGTCCGCTCCGGCTCCCAAGAAGGGCTCCAAGAAGGCCGTCACCAAGGCCCAGAAGAAGGACGGCAAGAAGCGCAAGCGCAGCCGCAAGGAGAGTTATTCCGTGTATGTGTACAAGGTGCTGAAGCAGGTGCACCCCGACACCGGCATCTCGTCCAAGGCCATGGGCATCATGAACTCCTTCGTCAACGACATCTTCGAGCGCATCGCCGGCGAGGCGTCGCGCCTGGCGCACTACAACAAGCGCTCGACCGTCACGTCCCGCGAGATCCAGACGGCCGTGCGCCTGCTGCTGCCCGGGGAGCTGGCCAAGCACGCCGTGTCCGAGGGCACCAAGGCGGTCACCAAGTACACCAGCTCCAAGTGAGTGCCGCCCGCACTTGGCGCTCCCCGGATGCCTTTCCCCAAAGGCTCTTTTCAGAGCCACCCACCTCCTCGGAGAAAGAGGCTGTCCTCACGCCGCCCGGGGGACGTCTTCAGATACACCACACCAGCCGTCTGGCCCGCCTTCCCCGTCCGTCCGGCCAGGAAAGCACGCAGCCCCGCCTTGACCAAGTGCCCCCTGCCTCTCAAGTCGCTGAGGGCGCCGCGAGGCTTGCTGAAGTCGAGCCGACCGGCGGCGGCGCACATGCACGTAGGCCGGCCTTTGCCTGAGAGCCCTCGGCTCGCTCGTGTTCCCGCCCCCGTGGCCTTTTGGCCCACAGATAACGGTGCCTGACCGGCCCCTTCATGTCTCCTCGCCGGAGTCTGAGGACATCGCCAAGTTTGCCCGCGAGGGGCACTGAAAGGCCGGGCTCGCTAGGGTGCAACTAGTTGGTGCCAAGGCAGTGGGGATAATTAATTCTCCTTGACTGATCCTGAATTCTGTTTTAAGAGGATACATAAAAATCAAGTGATAATGTTACCCACCTCGAAATAGACATGAGTAAAATATTTGCTTTCCACCTTAATCTGTTTATCCATTGGAACTGAGTGCTCAGAATCCTTTCCATACCATGGAGTGAAAAACTGGTTTTCTTAATGCAGAACTTGGTGTATTTTAAGAGGCCTTCCATGGTGGAAGAGATTGGTTGGCTTGAACTTATTGTCAATGCTTGGTTTGTTTTAGGCAGTAACTGAAATAACAGGATCTCTTGTGGGCTGGCCATATAGCTCAGTGGATAGAGGCAGGGACCGGGTTAGATCCCATGCTTGCTGTGCAGGCCCCAGCCCCCAAGGCCCACTAAGATGGTATTTGAGACTGGGGGTGGTGGAGCCCGCCTGTAATCCTAGGGCTTGGAAAGCTGAAAACAGAAGGATCATGACAAATTCAATCTGTGCAGTGAGACCCTCTAGACCATGTACTGCATTAAGAAAGAAGAAAAGAAATAACACGGTTAAAAATACATTTGTTGCTGTGGAGATTATTGGTGCTAGGCTGACCAGGGTAGGAGGGAGGAAACCATACAAGAGCCTGGTGCCAGGGCTTTGGGCAAGAGCAGTGATTTGCAGTGTTCTGCAGCCCTGCAGCAGCAGCAGCAGCAGCAGCAGCAGCAGCAGCAGCAGCAGCAGCAGCAGCAGCAATACTGTTCAGCGTTTATTAAACGTCTACCATTCTCTGCCTTCAGTAATTTGTGTTAATATATTGAGTGATTCTGATGTTGCAGTACACATGCTGAACTGGAGTTCAGTGGTAGTAGAGTCTTCAGTGTTGGGCTGGGTTTCTGTTAGAATTGCTAGATATTACAGAGGAATAGATTTAGGTAAGACTGAAGCCCCTAGGCTTTTGGCTTGATCAACTGGATAGGTAGTGGTGTGTTATCTAGGATGGAGACCAGTCCCGGGAGGAGGCAGGCATTGGGGCATTGAAGGGAATCCACTTGATATTCCATTGGATCTCTGCAGTTGCCCATGAGACATGGACAGATACAGACACTGAAAGATACATCTGGGCCTTTGGAGACAGTACAACCCATCCAAGTAAAATGCTTCAAGTCCAATCAGAGCAGCAGGAGTGAGTGTTTTCACCTTACTCTATGTGATGGCCTAAACTCAGACTTTTAGCATAGGTATTGCCATGCTAAACTTTAGCTGACCCCAGGGTGCTAAAAACAGGCATAATAATACAGAGGAAATATACCCTGAGAAAGTGCTGACCCTAAACAAGCAATATATATATGTGGGAAGCCATTAACTGGTATCCATTTTATAATAGTGTCAGCCATTTTCTTAAGTTTCTATTCCCCTGCTGAGTTAAGTATGGTCCTTCTCACCTTGCCCACTCCCCGTGAGTCACGTGCTGTGCCCCAGGGGTTGCACCTTCCCGTTATCTAGATATCTGCTGATCCCAGGAGCCGAGACTTCCTCATTCCTACATTCCCTATATATACCCAGAACCTCCCCTGAATAAACGAGACTTGATCAGAATCCTGTCTTGTCTCCATTCTTTGTGTCTTTTGTCCCTTCTCATCCCCACTCCCCCTCTAGGGTCCTCCTTGACTAACCCGCGGGTCGGGATATATAATTCTCCTTGACTGATCCTGACAAGCAGGATGTCTGCTGATCTAAATGTCTGCTGACCCTAAACAATCTATATCTATCTATCTATCTATCTGTCTATTTTATTCTAACTGACAGGCAGGATATCTGCTGATCTAGCTGTTTGACTAACAGGATTCTCTGTGGGTTGTTCCCCCCCCCCCCCATCTATATACTTCATGACCTCTGGGCAGGACTGCTCACTTAGTCTCTGAAATGGGTCTATGCTGATGGTCGCTGAGCTCAGCTAATAAAAATCTTCAAATTTTAATTGGCTATTTGGATTCCTATGTTGATTATGAAACCATAACACTCTGTACATTGTTCTTAGGCATTGGTCATGAAATATAACTAGTCCTATTAAGCACACTATTGGCTACTTTTATAGCATTTATTTTTCTTCTTTCCTGTTGTTGTGGGAAAAACTGAGTCAACAGTAGCCAGGGGCTCAGAAGAAAGGAAATTTGCTTAAAACTGGTGGACTCCAGAGCAGTAATTTGCAGTCTGAGGTCCTGATTACAGAGAGGTTGTCTTTTATAGGGTCATGAACAGAAGCTACAAGAATGAGATAAGCTTTTAGCAAAGGTTGTGGTACAATGGATATTGTTGTAACTCAAAAATCAGATGACAATGAGGCAAGTCCAAAAATTAAAGAAGCGCTTTATTTTAGCTGGTACCCAGCGGCAGACACCCCCACAAGATGCTGAGGTGCGCGCCCAGGAGGGGAGAGACAAGGGTTTTTAAAGCTGAAAACCACAAAGGGGAGGTCTTATGATTTGAGTGCAAGGGAATGCAGCACAGGGGTCAGCGTCCACTTTCGGGAAAACAGATTACATACAATTTTCAGGAACAAATAATTACAATTTATGGTTCGGTGTTGATCACAGGACATATTGTGTGGAGTGCTCTGGGATAAGAAATAGTTCAGATCTTAACCTTTAACACACTGTGGTTTAGAACAAAGGAATAGTTTGAACATTAACAAACTGTGTTCAGAGGTCCGATGAATGGCTTGAGCCATCAAGATGGAGTTGAAGTTGTCAGCTTATACCAAACAATCTTCATTAATAAAGTTACAGTGGAAATGTACAGAAGTGTATAATACAATGCCCATTCTGGTTACAAAATGGAGTGGGTATTTAAGCCAATAAACCATAAAAGCTGATGTCAAGGGTTTATCTTGGGGCTACAGTTGAAAAATTACCTGTTTCTAATGAACAATAACAAGTGCAGTGGTGGGTGCAGTTTGTAGCTGGGAACGAGGGCAAGATCAGGGCATTGGGCCGGAATTAGATTCAGGTGCGCACAAAAGGGCAGCATGAGAAAGGCCCAACTGCAGATTCTCAAGTAGAGAATGGGGCACAGTGGAAAGTTACAGCATTTAGAATGGCGCATACAGAACAAGATGGTGGCGCATATGTCAGGTTATAACAGTTAATAAAGTCACAGTGGAAGCATACAGAGTTACAAAATTGGAATCAATTGCACAGGTTATAACAGGTATCTTGTAAGAATAGTTAAGTTTCAATTTGGTGCAAATCTTAGAAGTTAGCTGAGTTCAGTGACAGACACAATGATTGAAGCTTTATTGAACAAAACAGCTGCAGTTGGGTCAGGATTTTGGCTTCACTGTGACAGAACTGCCACATGTCTCCTGGAAAGCAAATATGGGAGTATTTGCCAGTCCCAGAGTCCTGTGTGGTTTCAGGCTTCCTGTTAGGCCATTTTGCTGCCCTCTTACTTAGTTTCCATCTTGACATATTTCAGGAATAGTAACAAATAGCTTTCCAGGTTAAAAAAACAGATGTAAGGACTTCTGTATCCAAAAATATAATAGGATTCAAATAGGGTAGATATGGACAATGAGGTGATCAAACTAAATATTTGGACCAAACATCCAAGTGGTAAAATCACTCTTTATTTTCTTTTTTGTATTTAGGACAGGGTGTACAGGGTCTCACTGTGTAGATCAGACTCATAGTGATCCTCTTGTTTACAGCCACCCAAGTGCTGGGATTACAGGTGCGTACCATGTCCAGTCTTATTTTCTTTTTAAAAATGTTATGTATTTGTTTAATTTTATTTTGTGTTGCTGAGATCAAATCTAGGCCCTTAAGCATTCAAGAATGAATGAATGATACAAGTGCTGTCTACCACTTAGCTACACCTCTAACTGAAATCATAATTTGACCAGGGCTAAAAACTGCTTCTGCATAGTGTTGGTGTTACAGGCGTGTTAAGGTTACAAAGCACCTGGCTAGAATCGTATACTTTTATTAGGAGTTTAAACTACAGTTCTACAAAAAAAGAAAAAGAACAACATAAAAAAAGAAAGAAGATGAATAACTATAAAAATAACTGTATCGATAAATCTGTTAAACATCATGTCACAGTGGGCTGGCTTCATCCCCTAGAGTTTGTTCACTTTTTCCTATTTTGTGTCTACATAAAAATCTCAAATACTTTTTTTCTACCATGAGATACTTCTTGTCTATCATACCCAATTAAAATCATAATTTATTTCCTAATTATTGTACAAGCTGCTCCTTATTTTACTGCAAAAGCAAACAACAAAATCCTCACAAAATAGCAAACCTTTCCAGTGGTTCCTAGGGAGCATTTCTGTCCTTCTGCATGTGTTATGAGGCTCTCCTGAGCAATGAGGCACATTGTTAGAGCCTGAAAATTCCAATGAAAGCACAGACATGGGAGGGAGGAGGGCAAGAGCAAGGGCAGGGGATACACCCTTGTGTTCAGAGAGACCCACAGGAGTTTTGGTTAAAACCAAATTATGGAGACCCAGTCCTAGCCCAGGCCAGGTCTCCATCCTGGAAAGGAATCATGGGATGGAGAAAGAAGATGGCTTACTGTTCTAGTTCCCTTGTGTTCTGCTTCCTATTTGTAAAATGGAATCAAAAAAGGGGCAAAAAACTCCGTAGAGAGATTAAGAATATACAAAGAGGTCATTTACAAATGTATTAGCTTCTGTTTAATTGTTTGATCAGTCTTGCATGCCTATATCTTGTAGTCTAAGCAACAAATTTGATGATAATATTTAATGTAACAACCATTGTTAATTTTCTATTCTTGTTTTGAAATGCTGTACCATTTTTATCGTTTTATATTGCTCTGTCTTTGTCTTTATTCTTATTGTTTTGGATTTTTCTCTCTCTCTCTTTAAAGTAAAAAAGAATGTATGAGCTACCTATGGCCGCTATAACAAATTACCAGAAAAAAAAAAAAAATTATGTGAAGGAGACAAGGTCAACATTTGGTTTTGAAGACTCAAGCCATGGTAGAGGGGAGTGGACAATACAAAACAGCTAATTCTAAAGGTGGGGTGAGAGTGACTCAATTTATTTAGAACACTCATCAATTATTGGCTGCTCTTTTTCACCAACATTTATGCTTATAGTTGTGAAAGCAAAACTGACGTTTGTTTTGGCTGCATTGTTTTTTCCCACAATAAAGGATAATTTTTTTTAAACCCACTTTGCACACTGATATATACTGTGCAGAGGATGTGACAGTGAGAACAGAAACATTCCCGGTCCACAGAACTTCACGCTGCTTGGTGGGCAAGTGCAAATAAGCAAATGCAAAATGTTCAGTGGCTGGTGTGTGCCAGGAAGCAGAGCGAGGTAAGAGCTAGAGTGGGAATGGCAGGTCTGATCAGTGAATATTTATGAGAGACCTGAAGGGAGGCGTAGGGAACAGAGCAACTGAGCTGTCAGTAATGGGGTAGAGAACTGGGAGAAGAGGAAACAGCAGGAAGTGCACTGGCCTATGACAGCACATGTTAAGTGAATTCAGGTATAGCCATCACTGGAACAGTGACACCAAGTGGGCACTGTCACAGTGGGCACCAATCAAGGAAGATTTGCAAGGAATGAGATTACAAAGGTGGTGGAAATAAAATCATACAGCCATGGGGGAGCCTCATAGGTCACTGCCAAGGTTTACACTCAGTATAAATGAGGGAGTTAGTCTGACTGGACGTCATGATTTTTAAAAAATGCTCTGCATGCTCTGTTGAAAAACCACAGAAAAGCAAAGAGGCAGGGAGAATATTGAGACTACAATAATAGCTCAGGATAAAGATATATTTTAAATGAAAGCATATGAAGTATAGGTTACAGGAGAAATTGAGGAATAAAGGATAAACTGCAAAATTTTGGGCTGTGCACTTGCAAAGATTTCCTGCTATGTACTGATACAACCAATGAACAGGTTTGAAGACAGAACATGATTGTTCTGACAATGCAGGCCAAATTTCACTTCCACTGGCAATGGTTCTATCACCAGCCCCTTCATCGTTAATAAATACATCATTAAGTCAAACTTGAGACAAAATTCTTCTGAATTGCTGTTATGGTTTGTGTCTAGCTGTGTCCCCCCCTCCATCCCCTCCTGCGCCCCCAAAGCCTCATACAGTCGTGGGGATGGGACTTCTAGAGTTTGAGACTAACTCAGGATCCACTGGGATTATGGGTTTTAGTACTGCTGGGATTATGGGTGTGATTACTATACTCAGCCTTGAGGCAGATAGCCTGAATGCAACATGAGAGACAGACAGACTTCTCTCCATTGCCATTGTTGCTGCTTCTCCTCCATTTACTCTCTTGCTGTTTGTCACCACCATGAGATGTTGTTCGCTGCCATCTGCCTCTTCCTTGGAGCCAGCCAAGGATGGAATGAAACCTCCAGTAACTAGCTACATAACCTTCCCTTCTCTCATTTTAGGTGTCAGGTGTTTGCCAAGCAAGCAGAGAAGAGTGAGACAAATGCCCAGAATGGACTCCAATCTAGCGTTTGCTTTTTCAGACAGGGTGCGGCTGTGTCCTTCAAACTGACCTTAAACTCACCCTGTAGTTTCAGAATAGCCTCCAAATGACCTCAGTTCATATTCTCATGTCTCAGCCTCCTCAGTGCAGGGCTTAGGGGAATGCAGCTCCAACGCACAGCACACAGGTCTCTTCCTTTACTAGGATTAAATAGTCGGAATCTTTCAGTCACTGAGGGAGCTGGGGTTGGGGTTACATAGAGCTGCACCAGCATGTCTTCTTGAATGCTGCCTTCCCCACACACTAACACACTGAGCTAGCTGAGCATCAGTCAACAGAAGGATTGATCGCTAAAAAAATGGGGGTCACCAGCTGGTCGCACCCTAGCGAGCCCGGCCTTTCAGTGCCCCTCGCGGGCAAACTTGGCGATGTCCTCAGACTCCGGCGAGGAGACATGAAGGGGCCGGTCAGGCACCGTTATCTGTGGGCCAAAAGGCCACGGGGGCGGGAACACGAGCGAGCCGAGGGCTCTCAGGCAAAGGCCGGCCTACGTGCATGTGCGCCGCCGCCGGTCGGCTCGACTTCAGCAAGCCTCGCGGCGCCCTCAGCGACTTGAGAGGCAGGGGGCACTTGGTCAAGGCGGGGCTGCGTGCTTTCCTGGCCGGACGGACGGGGAAGGCGGGCCAGACGGCTGGTGTGGTGTATCTGAAGACGTCCCCCGGGCGGCGTGAGGACAGCCTCTTTCTCCGAGGAGGTGGGTGGCTCTGAAAAGAGCCTTTGGGGAAAGGCATCCGGGGAGCGCCAAGTGCGGGCGGCACTCACTTGGAGCTGGTGTACTTGGTGACCGCCTTGGTGCCCTCGGACACGGCGTGCTTGGCCAGCTCCCCGGGCAGCAGCAGGCGCACGGCCGTCTGGATCTCGCGGGACGTGACGGTCGAGCGCTTGTTGTAGTGCGCCAGGCGCGACGCCTCGCCGGCGATGCGCTCGAAGATGTCGTTGACGAAGGAGTTCATGATGCCCATGGCCTTGGACGAGATGCCGGTGTCGGGGTGCACCTGCTTCAGCACCTTGTACACGTAGATGGAGTAGCTCTCCTTGCGGCTGCGCTTGCGCTTCTTGCCGTCCTTCTTCTGGGCCTTGGTGACGGCCTTCTTGGAGCCCTTCTTGGGAGCCGGAGCGGACTTGGCCGGCTCAGGCATGGCAGAGAAAGAGCGGCGCCGGAGGGCAGTGAGGACTGCGCGGACAGACCTGGGGATGCGCGAGTAAACCCGTGCGTGCCGGTGAGTGAAGGGTGCGCACTCACCAGGCCAAGGTACTTATAGAGGCAACATGCAAATGAAGGTTCCGAACGCTCTGCGCTGCAATTCGCGAGTTTTGAGCGTCGCGAAGGCGTGGGGGCCGAGATTATGTAAATGAGTCGAATCTGGCTGCGCTCTCCCATTGGCCCTCGGGCCAGAGCCATGTTTTAGCCAATGAGCGTGCTCCGCGGACAATCCGCGCTCTAGCTATAAAAGGGTGAAGCAACGCCGTTCGGGACCGTGTTCCGGTTGGTTGAGCGTTAGCTGGTGGCGGTGCTCGTCGCTGTGATGTCTGGCCGTGGCAAGCAAGGAGGCAAGGCGCGCGCCAAGGCCAAGTCGCGCTCCTCCCGCGCCGGGCTGCAGTTCCCGGTGGGCCGGGTGCACCGCCTGCTGCGCAAGGGCAACTACGCCGAGCGGGTGGGGGCCGGCGCGCCCGTCTACATGGCGGCCGTGCTCGAGTACCTGACGGCCGAGATCCTGGAGCTGGCGGGCAACGCGGCCCGCGACAACAAGAAGACGCGCATCATCCCGCGCCACCTGCAGCTGGCCATCCGCAACGACGAGGAGCTGAACAAGCTGCTGGGCAAAGTCACCATCGCCCAGGGCGGCGTGCTGCCCAATATCCAGGCGGTGCTGCTCCCGAAGAAGACGGAGAGTCACCACAAGGCGAAGGGCAAGTGAGGCCTTCGCGCAGCGCAGCGCGCGTCCCGCAGGGGCGCTTGTGAAATCAAAGGCTCTTTTCAGAGCCACCCACTCTTTCAAGTAAAAAGGAGTTGTCACGGTACCTACCCGGCCTCCTCCCCGCCTTTCCCCTTCGCCAGCAGCACACGCCGAGCCCGGGCCAGTGAAGGCCCTCGCTCCGCCCGCGCCCGCGTCCTCCCGCCGAGCGGAGTCGCGGGCTCGCGTCCCGGGTCCGCCCCACCCCCGTCTCGTAGGTCTCGGGACTGGGCCGTCCGCGGCGCTAACGCTAAAGCCGTGGGCGGCGCCGAGCGGTTCCACGCCCGCGGGCGCAGGCCGGGCGGGGCGCCGTCTCGGCGGCCACCGCGGCTATCCGGACGGGAACGCGGGGTTTCGGTGCAGTGGAGGGCCCCGGCCTGAGCCTCGCCGGGCTCTGCCGCACATCTGACGTAGCCTTGGGTGGCGGAGACCCAGCCTCGCCCCCTCCGGCTTGTTTCGAAGCGTGACTCCCCCCGCCCCCCACCGAAAGGCCATAAACGGGCGGGGGTGGGGTGGAGGGGGGAGAAACGACGGGCCGGGAAAGGTGGCCTGAAAAGTGTGACAAGGGGCAAGGGAGGGGCCAGAAGTTGAGCCTCAACTCCGGACCCACACTGCAGCGCAGGCGGCGGAAAAGGGGCGTCGCGGCGGTCCGCTTGAAGGGAGGGGTCCAGGGGGCACCGGCTGCCTGACTCGCACTCAGCGATGCAGAACCAGGTCGAAAAGCTGCTGGCAAAGGGGAAAGGGGAGCGCGCGGCGGGGGCGAGGCTGGGCAAGGCCCGAGCCAATCAACGGCGCGGGGACGAGTGACGTCACAGCCAATGGCCCGCTAGCGCGGGCCTTTCAATCCCCGCCCCCACCCCGCCCGGTGGCGAAAAGACTGTGCCTATAAAAGGCCGCTGCGCCTGCCCCGCTCCTCCTTACGGTCCCCGCCGCTGTGGTGCCGAGCTCTCGTTGCCGCGCATCATGGCCCGGACGAAGCAGACCGCCCGTAAGTCGACCGGCGGCAAGGCCCCGCGGAAGCAGCTGGCCACCAAGGCGGCCCGCAAGAGCGCGCCGGCCAC